TGGAGTACTATGTAATTCAGTTCTGCAGAAAATGGAAGAGAGACAGACATGCAAAATTAAGAGAAGTGCAAAGGAACCAGAAGGTGAGTGAAGAGGCTTGCAGATATATAGTGTCCCACAGTAGTTAAATTAGCAGATTCAAGAAGCTTTCTGGAACAGTGGAAGGTGAAAAGCTGAGAGAGACAGGGAAAGCAACTTCATATATGTTTAATGTATTTTTGAGGATAGTTTCTAACTTTATTCCCACAAAACTAAAAACTAATAAAAATTGAACTAATAGTGTAACTTTTGACCTGAAGTATCCTAAAGCATTTTATAAACAATGCAAAAATAACATATAAACTCTGGCAGCAGCTTGTAAGTAGCTCAGTATTACTATTTGACTTCATCTGGAAAGAAATTAAGTTTTATGGTAGAAAATGGGTTGGAAAACAAGCAACGTGGTGATACTGTTTATTGCCCACTGGAGATAAGTGTTCAGTCCACAGGAATATGTTTTTTCACTCTAATCAAATATTCTAGTCTGTGTAAGTTTTATTAAGTTCATAAAATGCACATAGTAATCATAAATGCATATAAAAATGCAGCAATGACTAGACATACATACATCAATGTAGCATTTACCTTAAAAAAGTATAGAGTCGTTATTTATTGTTGACCTTCCTAGTTTTTCCATGGCATTTCTTTGTATGAACAGTCATTTTCCTCAAAAGACTTTTTAAGGCTTTATGAATAAAGGTGGTGGTAGAAGCTAAGAACACGTAATAAATTTGTAGAAGATCATTTAGTATACCACAAAATTAGAAACAGAATATGTAAGTAACTTCATTTATAGTTGGAGGAGAGCAGACTAACAGTTAAAATCAATTTACGTAGAGTATCTAATATATTTCAAAAGCCGCGTTGACTGCTGTAATGCTGAAATTCAAATGTTATTCCCCAGTTCAGTATTCAGTTGCTCTCAACTCCTAGAAACAAAATAGCTTCTGAGCTGTGATTACTCAGGATTAATGTCTACCTCAATGGATTGCTTTATTGTATTTGTGTCCATGTTTATCATGGAATCGCAGAAGAAGCTTTTGTTGTTGCCCTTGATATCCCTGGCCAGACATAATTCTGTTGGGACTTTAGCTGTTCTAAGCTTCCCTGGCTGCTTGGACCATTTCTCTGTATTCCTCCCAGGCTACCTGTCCTCACTTACACCCTCTGTAGGCTTCCTTTTTGTGTCATTGTGTTCTGTCTCCCCTCCCAGCCCCCCCCCCGTGTCCTCCCTCCAAATTCCTTTGTATGTATTTGGTGCCCATCTCTTTGGCAGTTATAAAGCTTGATGGATCAGAAGGTCTTTGAGGCTTTGCCTTGTGTGAAGCTTCTGGCAAAGCAAGGTCCTCATCTTTTTTTAGGCCTGCTTAACCCCCTACATTACAGTCATCGTGTCAGTGACTTGGTAAATTCATGTATGTGTTAAAGTGACGGTGTATCTGGTTGGTGTTCTCGAGGTATGTATAAGAAATACTTGTGCTTGGTTTTGAGGAACACCAATAGGTTTTTGTTCTGATCTTTATTATGTGCATTAAAAAAAAAAAAAAAAAGACTGGCAAAATGACAGGATCAGTATTTTAAACTTTCTAGTAAAGACTGTATTTGAAGTCTTGTGACAAGTTAAATTTTCTTGCCATTTGAAACGTCAGGTCATTGGTCTTCTCTGAGGTAGGGCTTCATCTTATGGGTTATAGGCATTTAGTATTGATGAAACAGCTTCTCATGCTTAGTAGTAATATTACAGCCTTGAAAGAGACCTCAGGCTCTCAAGTGCCCTGCCCAATGCTTGGAAAAATTGCACTTAAGACTCCTCCCTCTTCCCCCTCATGTGATTTATTTTGATTATTGTGTTTTGGATTGGTGTTAATGAGATCTCTCCTGGAGCTGGTGAGGAAAATAGTAACAGTGAGTGCACTGATGGTGGAGACCATGCTAATGACTTAGTTGAATCTGGATTGTCCTTTGGGTGGAATATTATTAGTCTAATCACCTACTGAGACTGACAGAGAATCCTTGTACTTATGCATAAGCTACATGTGGAGAAGTGGTGCCACTTACAATACCAGGAGTAGAGAATTCTGCCCATTTTCTAATGGAAACAAAAGATTTGCTAATGTCAATCAAAATGAAAGGTGAAGGACTAAATTCACTGTTGGCATAGCACTGTAGTATGAATTCCAAGTGCCCAGCAGAAATGTAAAACGATAAATATATTTATTCCAAAGTAGCCAAATACTACTTTCTTTAACTATTGATTTTTAAAAGGCATCTAATGTAAATAATACAGACGTCTATTTGTTGTTGTAAATGGCTTAACATAAATTCCTAATGCTTATATCCTTAGTTTGCTGCTTGTGCTTTGAGAATACTATTATGAATTGGGCCGTCACCAAGCAATACGTAGAGCTGAGGAATTAGGAGGGGAAGCATAAGATCAGAAACAGTTTTTCCTCAGTGTATATGATTCCCCCTTCCCCCATGACTGTTGATTTCAGATAAAAGAGAATACTTGTGGATTAAGAGATCCTTTCCAAACCTGAGCATGTTTTGTCAGAGAAGAGCCATTTTTTACGCGTCTCATCTTGAACGTGATCTGATAACATATATACATAATTTGTCCCCATATGCTGATCTGCTGCACAGAGCCATTGGCACAGATTGGTTGAGAGTTCACTCTTGTGTTTTGAGCAGGGGGTTGGACTACATCACCTCTGGAAACCTCTTTGAACCTAATTATTATTCTGTGATTCTATGACGCCATTTATGTCAAGGTACCTGGATTTGTACCGAGATTTTTCAGCCAACGCAACTGGAAAACGGGATAAAAAAATATTTTAATCTGTCTCTGTATCTGCAGCTGCCTTACACGTCAAGACAGGGACAAAACATTTATTGCTTACAGTGAAGAACTCAGTTTTAAAACTGTTCTTGCTGATAAACAGGAGGTAGGTATTGCATATTTTTGCAGTGGATCCCAAGAAATGAAAAGTAAAGCTTTTCTGGGAACTGTGAAATGAACTTGGAAAACCTGAGGAACCTTATGGCAAAGAGAAGAAGCTGCTGAGAGCATTTATTCTGTCCTGGCGGAATGGCTTGTATTGCCTTATTTTAAAAAAAAAAAACCCAAACCTTTGAAATGTTACTGCTTTAGGCATTGTGGAGCTCTTTAAGAAATTGATCAGTAATATTTGCACTGAGCCTTGTGTAGCGCTTCTTTTTATATATGATGGTATATTAATGCTGTGTGAATGAATGCAGTGTTACATTTGGGATATGCAAGCAGCTCAGTCACTGGGGCAAAGAAATTAAAATATTCAAACCAACATGAATTAGTTATTGTAACCAATATTGAAAACTCCTGACCTTCAATCCAAAGAAAAAGAACTGATTTTTTTTGGAGGGCAGGGAATAGTGTCTTTTAAAGTTGTATTATGATGATACCAACACATCTGTAGGCATTTACAGCTGAAGAGTCAGGAGGGGAAGCACAGGATCAAACCAAATTTTTCTCAATACTAGGTTAAAAAACCCATGTCAGTTTGCTTCAAATAAAAGAGAATACAGCTTGAGTGCATCCATGAAAATTGGATTTCTTCAGTCCTATCCCTTATCTTTTATGTGGCAAGATAACACGTCACACAGATGGGGAACCAGTGAGTTGTATTGGAATACCAGGGACAGGTTCATAAAGTATTTATATGTAGGCACAGGCATACATGGAAGGCCATGCATTCTAGCCCTCATCCTCTTCAGAAAATATCTTACTCAGTCTCTTCTGAATTCTGGATATGACAATTAATTAACTTGGCTATGCACTAATTCCTTGTAATTACTTACATGAGTTAAGTAACAATAATAAAAGCCTCTGGTAATAGATCATCATTGAACTATTGTTCTGCTGTAGAAATGGTGTCCTGAAATGTTGATAAATGAAGATTGGCTTTTATTTTGCAGCAGCTGGACTGTACAACTCATTGCATAAGTTTTGAGTAATTACAAATTAAATCTGCAGATCTATGTTTATGTTAGTATTTGCAGCACTAGAGGTCTCTTTCTCAGGCAGTTTTTCATCTACATTAACAATGGAGTGCTATATATGCAATACAGCTACTTCAGTGAAGGCTATGGAGTCTTAACAAATGTGTAGGAGTTTACGTAAGGACATTGTATGACTCCCGTTGGTTGAAAAGATCTACTGGATCCCAGTATCCCAACCCTCTTGTGCCTTTGATAAGCCTGTCTGTTACAGCTTGTTAATGTTGAGTTGCACTGAGCTGAAGTGAGTGCTCTTTTTCCTTCATCTCTTCAAACTTGTTGAACTGTGGAGGGTCATGGGAAAGCTTTTTTCCTTTAAAGGAAGCTGTATCACTGTGGTGTATAGTAAAATGGAACAGCAGATAGAATGGAACAGCAGATAGATTTGTTCTTTCACAGATTTCAAGTTTCTGTATACGTTTTCTGTGTAAGTTGCACTGATACGACTATTTCAGTAGAAAATCATAGCACCGATTAAAATATCTGTGGATAGCTCAGGGCATAAATTATCTGTATCTTATTACAACAAATCAAGACAAATGTTATTTGATTTTTAAGATCTTACAAGTAAGCTTAAAAAAATTTATAAGCCGGATATGGTTTGAAGGGCTCTGAAAAATTAACAGGCATGATCACAAGCAGTCTGGCTGAAGCTTTAGGAACTTACTTGGAAATTTCCTGATGTGACCTCTGCAACTGTTACATGCTGAACCTAAATCAGGGAGAGGTCATGGGATTTCTTGTTACTGTCACCCCTTTCCACAGCTCCTTTCTTTTTTTCCCCCTGTGCTTCCTTGTTCAAATATGTTATTTGACAAGTTAATTTCCCCAAATAATTAAGGCTTTCTAGCAGAGATGGGTTTTGGTAAGTTTGAGAGTTTGGGGATGAATACTTGCTTACAAAACTGTTTGTTTGTTTATTTAAGGTTGCTAATCTTGCTTGTTCGTTGTCAACAAATGAAGATGGAATGAAAATTGTCCAAATGGCAGCTAATCATATAGAGACTTTGTGCCCTCAGGTATGCCTTTTTCAATTAATTTCCATTACAGCGCACTGAGCATACACTGTATTTTTGCCACACCACTCAGATGTTTAGTCATGCTTCTTCAGTCTAAGTTCACGTTACGTTCACACGGCTTAGGAAATGGAGACGAAATGATAAATTGAAGGCAAATAGTTAATTTGTCTTATTTTTTCTTAGTGGTTAACATAGGAAATGTTAACAGTCTGTATTGATTGGGAGTTTCAAAAAGCTGTAAAAATTGCAATTGAAGAAACATGCTGCTCTGTTTCGTGAAATTAAACCTGATTGAATGAACAGTGTAACATGATAGGCAAATTGGGAGTATTTTTACTCTTAGAAAGAATACATATTTTGACCTTTCACTTGAAATATTACTACCACTTGATTTATTTTTTTGTATATGAATGTTAAAGTATGAATTCTTGTGATTATCACCAATTCAAAAGCTTGAGCTTTTGTCTTAAGTAAATGAATGAAAAACAGCACAGCTACAGAATAAATTTTTGGTACTTAATGTCTTATTAAAAGTGTATTCAGTATGTATTTGTCACATTCAGAATTATAGAGATATAAAAACTTACGCGGTTACATCTGTTTAAAGCAAAGATTTTACTGATTTGTGTGAATCTGATCTGAGTGTTTTCAGCCTTGAGGCTGCATAATTTTAAGATCATTAGTTCTTTGAAGAACGCTATAGTTTACAGAGTGGCCTAAATATTCTTACCCTTTTGTGTGTTTCAATGCTAAACGTAGCTGAAGTAGAAGGTGAAGAGCAAATATTAATAATATGTTCAATTACAAGCTTGAGAAGTCCATTTTATGCCTGGTGAGTAAATGCAAGACTTGGGGAGAAAGAAAATTCTATGAGAATGTGATATTCTGAAAATATCACAGATCAGTGTCTGCTCTTGAATAATTCAGTTTCTTGGGAATTCTGCAGATTTGACCAGCAAAACTTGCCACATAGCACTGGGAAAAAGGCAGATACAGAACTGGCAAACCCCAGAGGAAAGCCTTTTAATTGTTAGAATTCATAGACAAGCTTATGTTATATCAATTATACTGTATTATAGTTAAAATGTAGAGGGTTGATTATGAACTCTGACCGTAGGGTTGCTGGTTGTTTGTTTGGGGTTTTTTTTGGTTTTTTTTTTTTTTTTCCAAATGAGATTATTAGCAAGTATTTTTACTGTTTAATAAATGAAATAAACTAGCCATCTATCTTAGAACTGACACGAAATGCATAATGCCTCTTGTTCTTGAAATTTCATGAATACTTCATGAGAAACTAATTTTAAGACTTATTTAATCTTAAATCAATAAAAAACAATAGAATAAAGAAATAAAGAGCTGCTAGCATATGTTTTGATGAAGGAAGAATTACTTCTTTTCATGTTGTTAGTTTTGGTTGGAAGAATTTTCTTGAGCGTTGTCAGGTAAGTAAAATCTACAATGTCACTTATTCTGTGTGAGAGTCCACATTACTTCCCTGGTGTGCAAGCAAAATTATGACCTCATCAAATGCATGAGGAGGAAAGAAAAAGAACCCAGAAGAGGTAACAAAATTCTGTGAAGGTGTGCTTTTTCTCTCTGAAACTCAGGTGTGTTTCTGACAAACATAGTAGAGGTCCTGTGATGTACATAATGAGAGATAATGACATTTTCCTTCCTGAGGGAAGCCAGGGAGTGCCAAGAGCATTAAGGCAGACAGATCCTGAGCTGATATTTTTGAGGGGAAGAATGACCTTGAGCCTAAAGCTGGAACAGATGTTTCAAAGGGGAGATCAGAAGTGGCTAGTCTCAAGGCAGCAGCTGGGAAAAGCTTCATCATGTCAAAGGGCTCTGGCTAGAGCCTTTTTTTTTTTTTAGCGTAAAGATGCCTGGAGAGTTTTAAGGAGCAGGAGGTTCGGGCTTGTTTTGGAAGAATCATATCTGAAAAAATTAATTTTAGGCTCGCTTCCTTTGAAGATGAGATCTTGCTAGAGCTTACTGCTAATTACCAAAATGATGCAGGGTGATCAGTTCTGCAGTGAGCCATGTCTGTTGTGGTTCATCACGCAAGGAAGCAAAATGCAGGAAAAACACATGAATGTTCATGGTTTAGCTTAATCTTTATTTGGTGATAAACAAATTTTTAAAATGATTCGATCCCATGCAATATTTTTATCAGGTATTTTAAAAAAGACAAAGTATATGCTGGTATAACCAGAACCTCAGATCTTAGTGTTTTTAGTGAGTTCTGTTTTTCTCTTAAGTATTGACAGATAGATAGAAACCATCGAGTTATAAAGCTATTAGGTGAAAAGGTAATCCGTGTAATGGGAAATCCATTAGCGGTTGAGTTGCACTTTGTGTTTAAAAAATAAAAATGGAGATGGGGGAAAATAGCCTTTCAAAAAAAAAAAAAAGTGTGTGCGCACCTTGAGCTATTTTAAATGTATATGAAGCTGTCACCTCATTTTTCCTCTTAACTTGCACCTATACCAGGAATATATCAGAACCTAAGGCAGATACTACAGTATATTTCAGAACTAGTTCCTAAGCTGCTGGAGGAAGTTTGCAAAGACATAAATGTCCTTCTTTATAGCTAGCTATTGTGACTGCGAAATATATTATGTGGAAGACATTGATTCAATGGACATGAAAAGCACTCTGAGCCAGTTAAATTCGTGGTCACTTCTGATGTGAAGTGTACATGCTCAGATAGCGATACTGGCTCCTAGAATGCTATCTGCCTGACTCTTATCTTTGTATTCAGGCTTTTGGAGCTATTGTCTAAAAAGTAGTGCCCATTATACATCATTTACTGAATACATGCGATGAAGAGGGAGTGCCTTGTGGTAGGCAAAAAACTTTGTCACAAGCAAGGCAACCCATAGTAGATCTAGATTCTAGGGTTTATTTAACAATCAGGGAGATGAGTTTTTATCCTGCTTGATGATACCACATGCTCACTCATTTGTTTTCCACAGAGTTTTATTTTCATGAGGTCGCAAGTTTCCTTCTCAGTGGGGAGATAGCTGCTAGTCCAGGAAGGTTGGGCAGAAAGTTATGACTGTTTTGTCCTGCTCACAGTTGCCTGTCTTGGGTCTTACTGCCCAAGGTTCCTTGGTGTCTCTCAGTATTTGTCTCCACAAGTTTTCCTGACCTCCAGGATCTTTCTTTGCTTTCAGGACTGCTTCTTCAGCCAGGATCTTCATCAGCCTCTTTTTGGGCCCCTAAACCTTGATTTTTTTTCCCAATCTAAGCATGAAGTGTTATCCGCCTCCTAATTGGCAGCTCTGTTTTGTGTGTCTTTATTAATTGGATGGCTCAGGATATGTTGGCTTTGTTTAGTTGAGATGTTAACAGAGTTTGAAACCAGCACATACCAGTTACAGATAGATAGTACCAGGCTTGAGCTTGAGAGTTCAGACATTCCTCTTCCCCTGCCCCAGTTATCTGCTGCCTGTAAGTGTTCACAGTTTAAACTATGTTTTTGCCCACTACAGCCCTACACCATTCTGAAGGAACCATTTGGAAGTAGGGGAGGTGAGTGAGTGGACCTTTAATGACAGAGCATCAGCTACACAGCCACTGTAAGACCTCATGGCTCTTAGGCATCCTGTGGCAGGATATGATGCCAAGGGCACCTTACAGCTTGCTTTGAAAGATAACAACTCACAGTACAGACTAGGCTGTGCAACAAAACTATGTATCGTGCTGTGCCCATTATGTGAGGAGGCTGAAGACCAAGGCTTCTATGCTGATATGGTAGAATATGTTTAGTGAAATAGTTATTGTTGCTTAGATGGAAGCTGGCTGCCTTACTCCTTGGCACTCTTAAGGGCATGTTTGTTTTGAGAACCGTGGAACATTTGGCACTGTATTCTCTCATATGCTGGTGTAGCATCAGTAGAGGCTAGTGCTTTGCCTTGACGACTAATTATTGAGGAAAAATATGAATGAGAAGGTGTTATTTTTAAAACAAATTACATGCTTCTAACATGTCTTGACTTTCAGTTTCATCACTGGTGTATGTGGAGTGTCTCAGTTTGGAAACAAATATTTAAGATTTGATACAGTTTTTGATTTACTTGTTTTGTAGTTGTAGTTGATGTGTTAGTTCTCTTGATGTCTATAATACCTTGATGCCTCTGATGTTAAAACTGTTCTACAGTGGAGTGCCTGATTGCTCCTTCAGTAGAAGTGTCTTGTGTAGTTAATTTAATGCCCATAATTCCCTTCCCCTCCCACCCTCATTTACTTTGTACATCTCCATCTACAGTTGTTCCTCTTATGCCTTAGCAAAACACCATGCAAGAAGTTAAGTTGGGATACTTGGAAACAGAGGCATAAGTTTGTTAGTTCTGTGCCTACAACACATCTAGTTCAGCTGTGAGGAAAAAGCTGTAACAAACACCAAAAAGCTAACTAGGATCTAACTTAATTCATAATTCTGTAGGTATATGAAAAGGAGTGAGAAATGCCGAACAGTTGAGGTTAGATTCTAGCAACTTGTAGTGATGACTCATGACAGCAGACAGTTTTGAGAGCTTGCAGAAACCTTCTGAGAATACTTCACACCAGATTTCTGACAACTTTTAAAATGGAAGAATTACATTGTTGCAAAATACCTATATTGAAAGATCTGATTAAAAAAAAAAAAAAAAAGTGTCTCTCTTAGATTCCATGCTTATGAAACTAAACTGCCTCTTAGAGAAAACCCTTTGCTATTTCACTCCAACTTCAGTTAGTAGGGACACACGGGCTGACTTCATTGGGCCCCATAATTTGCTGCTCTTCATCCAGATTCGGTTAGAAGAGTCCATCTTCTATTTAGGCTTCTAAATTCACTGTTGAAAATGTAAGAAACTGCTTAATACTTCTGTTCCTCTCAATACTATTTACAGGGGAGCTCAAATCATGTGATGGCACTCGTGAACTCCTGCACAACTTCATGGGGGATTTGGGAGAGACCCCTATCAGCCTTTGTGATAGGTTAGAAAGGACAC